AACACCATCTTGAAATCCCGGGACCTGGGCTCCATCATCTGTGACATAAAGTTTTCGGAGCTCACTTACCTCGACGCTTTCTGGCGCGACTACATCAACGGCTCGCTACTGGAGGCCCTCAAGGGGGTCTTCATCACAGACTCGCTCAAGCAAGCGGTGGGCCACGAGGCCATCAAGCTCCTGGTCAACGTGGACGAAGAGGATTACGAGGTGGGCCGTCAGAAACTCCTGAGGAACTTGATGCTCCAGACGGCCCCTTGAGCCTCGGTTGCTGTTATTTCCCCCACCCTGTCCTCTGCCTCTCCTTTGGGTGGTTTTTTTTCCGGATTTTTTTTTCTCTCTCAAGAAAAGGGAAAAAAATATCTTAAAAGGAATGAAACCTCAAGCTCCCTGCCATGTACTGAGTAACTGTACGGTCTGTTTCGACACGAGGATGAGCGCTGTGGTTGGTTTTTTCTTTTTCCCCCAGTTGGGAACCAAAACAGGAGATGGAAATTCCTGGGCTCCTCCCTGCCTGCAAGGGAGATGCGGGGGCCCTTTCCCTGCAGGCCAGCGGAGCATCTTCGCTCATTGACCGATGCTCCTCTGGTCTCTCGTCTTTTCTTAACCACATTCTCTCTTGTGCTGTCTACTTCTCTCCTGGGTTTTTTTGTTTTTTGTTTTCTTTTTGGTACTGTCTCTCCAAAACATTAGACTGTCCTGTGGTGTGCCATTGCCCAGAAAGGTCTAAGCAGGTGCGGCGAGGTCCAGAAGGCGAGACTTCCACTCTTTATATTAAAAATAAGAAGCAAACCTGAACGTGGCTCTTCTTGTGCCAGGAACATCTTAACACCGGTGTTTTTTTCTTTCAAGCTGTGAGTTCCATGGGTGGGGGGACAGGGTGGGGGAGGAACGGGGCGTCTCGGAGTGGAGTTGGGGAAGAGAGCGCTTGCATCTTAACCAGACGCACCACCTGCCCCCTCTATGTAGCAATGTTCTTATAAGTGACACTCAAGGCCTGCCAGTTGGATTTAGGAATGGTTATGCAATTGACTTTGTTGGCGGGTGGGGAGTGTGGATGGGAAGGACCCTTGCCTAGAAGGAAGTCGCAGCAAGGGTGGGGGTCCAGACACAAGGGACGAAATGGTCTTTGGGACCTTAGCTGCTCTGGAAGACTGTTTTCTTCTGTGCATGTGGGAAGAGCGTGCTTGTCCCAGCCCAGCTAGCTCAGCTGAATTAAATTTGAGTGTTCTCCCCCCCACCTAACCCTTTCCCCTGATGCGTGTCCTGAGCAGAGAGTATTTTCAGCCGCCCCCCCCCCCGATCCACTGTGTGTGCCTTTCCCTCAACCTTTGGTGGAGGGATCGTCTGCCTCCAAAGACAACAGAGAAAGGGCCACCCGTCTGAGGCCTTTTCTCACCTCTCTGAAACCACACAAGCACCACGGCCGGCCTTGCATGGGTGCAAAGGGCAAGGAGGAGGTGGAAGGGATTGTTCCAGCTGCGAATGGCTGTGTCAGATCAGAGCCAGGAGGACAAGGCAGTCCAGCCTTCCGCCTCCTTTGCCATTTTGTGTTTTTTCCCAGGAACGTGATACTCCAGTTTCTTGATCTGGGCTTGGCTCTCGGCTTACTCCCCTGGGAAGGCTGCAAAAGGGATGTGTGGCAGGAGCTCCTTCCGCTCTTGCCTTCTGTTCAGGTGGTGCTGGGCACCACAGCAGTTGCCCCCTGTGTCTTGTCCTATATTAAATAAGCTTTTTCCCCCCCTCTCTTTTTTTGAGCTGCTGGGAGAAGCTTGAGGGGTGAACCTTTCCAGTGCTGGGGACAGAGAGGACCCTGGTGGTTTATTGTTGGGTGGGACAGGTGGGCTTAAAATGCACTGTTAGGTTTTGGTAAGACTGCAACTTGAGATGGGGTGACTCCCTGCCCCAGGAGATGGATTGGGACTTCCTTAGGCTCCGTTAGTGGGGAAATCAATTATTATTTTTTATTATAAATGCTTATGTATTGGTAGGAAGAACCTGCTCAAGTATCCCAAGTCACTCTTTAAAAGGGATTATCTATTCTTTTTTCTATCATTCTTTTTTAAGTTTTGCTCCTGAATTTTTGTGTTTCTGTTGGGTGAGTTACACATGCTGCTTTTGGGATTCCATTGGATTACATGAAGTACGTATTGTGAAATCGCCTTGGCAAGCCATGGTGGTGTTTCCCTTGGGTTTTGGATGCCTATTCCAGAAAGCTTGTAACTTCTGAACAGCATCGTTTCCCCCCAACCCAAGCAATATAATCTTGGTAGCCCCCTCCCCCCCCCGACTTCTTTCAGATGGCACAGATGGTAGTATTCACTCACTTCCCCCCACTCCTTCAAGTTTCTCTTTCTGGCTTACTAGTCAAACAAGAAGGCTCCATCTAAGAAATCTATGAACAGGAGCATTCCAATGGTGGGGCGGTTTATCTGACTGGCAGGCAAAATCAAGTGGCATTGCTCTTTACCCTTGGGCTGTACCATTTCAACTGGTTGTTGTTTTTTAAATTTACAGAAAAACAAAGGGCATGTTGATTTAGCTTTAAGACATGGTCTTTATATTTGTTTTATTGGGGGGAGAAGAAACTAGAACTCTTACCTTGCATTCTGTAAATTGCTTTTTTTTAAAAAAAAACAGAGAGAAAAGGGCTAGAAAGGACAAAAAAAAGCCTTTAAAAAGAAAAGGCTAATAATGATAGGAAGAAAGCAGAGGATATTTTGCCCTAGTCTTCTCCTTGACATGCCACTCTTGCATAGCAACCCTTGTTTCAGCCTGAAGTTGGTACAGTCCAGGGTAAGCTATGCCACTCGAGTCGATCGATTGCGTAAACAGGTTTTGAGCCAAAATCTAATCCTGCATTGGTTGGGAAATATTCCACTTGATGTGCAAGTATCTGATGTCTCTTATGCTCTGCAACCGCCTTCGCCAAGCTGGCATCTTTCAGACATTGTGGGAGTACAGCTCTCATTAGCCCCGATGGGAGTGTTAATCCTGCAACATCCAAAGGGCACAAGCTTGCCAAAGGTCAACTGTACAAGGTATCTTGGCAAAGTGTGCAAGGGCCCCTGCCGCTATCCTTTGTGTACCCCCCCTCACTCACACGCACACACACACTTCCCATTTCAGAACACATCTGGCACAAATTGTGTAAAATCTGTGACTTCTGTTTTGGTTTTTTTTTAAGGAACTTCCAGTGTAACTGGTCATAATCCCAGTGTAGCTTTGTTTTTCCTCAGAATAATAATAAAAATCTTCTGCCTTTTGTTGCTGCTACTGTCAGGGGTCTGTGCTTTGCTCACCTGTGTGTGCAAGAGAAAATGGTAACTTCCAGTTGAGGCAAAAACTTCATGCGTTGGATGAACCTTTAGTGGCTCATGCCCAGATTACATCGGCTTTTCTTCCCCTGGTACCCCAATACCTCTGTTTTCCTGAAGACACCATTTTCCTTTGCGTGTGTAGATTATTCTAGCCGGTCAAAAAACTTCTGGCAGTGGCTTTGGGGGACAGAAAATAAAGAGTGGGGAGGGCAAGGATGAAGCCCTGATTCTGTGCTCTAGCCTGGGTTATTTTTAAATCACGGGAAGCTAACCTCTGGGCTCCCATCATTCCTGGCCAGTAGTAGTACTGGGGCTGATGGGAGCTGGAGTCCCAACAACACGAGGGCCACAGATTCCCCATCCTTTGTTTGAATTGGCAAGGAAACAAGGCTCATTTAAATGAGGTTTCCCACTGGTAATACTTCGGGGGGGGGGAATGATACAAATCTGGACACTAAAACACCCATTTACAGCTGGCTAGAATTTAGCTCTTGCCAACCTGGGTGCCTTCCAGATCTTTTGAAATGTAACTCTTCAGCCTCAATCGTTCAACTATAGTTTATAAAATTATGCACGACAGGGAGAAAGGCGACACAAAAGGTTTTTCTCCCTCTCCTGCATAATACTAGAACTTGTGGACACCCAATGATGCTGAATGTTGGAAGATTCATGGGAAATGAAAGAACGGACTTCTTCACACAGTGCGTAGTTAAGCTATGGATCTTCCAGCCTTGGGAGGCAGTGATGCTCCCCAACCAACATGGCTTTGAAAGTGGATTAGACAAATTCGTGGAGAAATTTAGCATTGAGAAGTTTGGAAAAGTGGCTGTTGGTGACCAGCAATCTCTGAAGCTAGGGGACCTTGATGGCTGGCTCCCATTCAGCAACACCTTCTGTGGGGGTTGCATTTAATTAGAATCTAAGCCAAGCTTGCTGGATTAGGCCAGTGGCCCATCTAGTCCAGCATCCTGTTCTCACAGTGGCCAACTAGATGCCTGTAGGAAACCCAACAAGCGGCAGCTGAGCACAAGAGCCTTCTCCCTCCCTGTGATTTTGAGCAACTGGTGTTCAGAAGCATTTTCTTCCTCTGACTGTGGAGACAGAGTAAAGCCATCACGGCTAGCAGCCCTCCATGAATTTGTCCGATCTTTAAAAGCCATCCCAGTTGGTGAGAACTACTGCCTCTTGTGGGAGTGAGTTCCATAGTTTAAATATGTGCTGTGTGAAATAACATTAAAAATAATAATTAAAGGCTCCAGAGTGTCTACTTTATGCTTAGCTGTGCGTGTGGGAGTACTGCGCGTGAACAGCCATTACATTATTTATTACATTTGTTAGCTACCTTATACCAAAAGTAAACCCCATTCTCCTAGCAACTTAACAAGATAAAATACAAACAGTTAAAATCATTAGCTTTAAATTGGTTTTAACAATGCACATGCAAAAAAAGGAAAACCCTCTGCAGAAAGTTATGATTTGGCCACAGGATGCAGGTGTCTGGGCACCCTGACCTTGTGCTTGTTTTTAAAACCAAGCTTCTAGATCTTGAAAAATAATTGAAGTAAAGCTGCCTCGGAGGAGTTGCTGAACAAGATCCCAGCAGTCAGGGTCGAGGTGCCAGTGCCCTTGCCTCTCCCTGTGACTACCAGAAGTGCAGAAAATGCAAAATAAAAAGAGAGATTCCAAATTTGCATCATGCATGCAAGTGACAAATTTATTTGCTAAAAACTTATTCCTCATCTCTAAATTGCAATCAAGTGGAAGGATGATGTTCAGCACGGAATAAAGTGATCCGAAAAGTTTGCATCGTGTGTGCGAGTTGTGATACTTGACTTTTAGCAGCAGAGAGATGGAAACTTAAATGCAAAGCATGCTTTGCCTAAGGGGCAGAACCCTATTGGAAGCCAGCTGGGTTCTGAGCTCAATACTGTACCTGTTTAAAAATGGATTATTGGGTGACGGGAAGAAGTGTGGGAGTCCAGCAGGGGCAGATTAATTTCAGTCAGAGGTGGGGAAACTTTGACTCTGAATGTTCCTGGACTACATCTCCCATCTTTCCACGCTTGCTGGAACTGATGGGAATTTAGGTCCAGCAGGATCTGGGGGCCTGCAGATTCCCCACCCCTAATTTAGGGGCAAAGGATTCACTGGAGCTCATCTGAGCAAATGCACCCTCCCAGGTGGAATAAAAGACCAGGCTTATGGGGCGAGGTGCCCTTTCCTGGATCCACTTGGGAGAACGGGTACATTTCTCTGTTGTTCTACTTATCATCCACTCCCTAGCAGAATTGCTGGAGTGCCAAATTGGTTGAGGGAGCGAAAATCCACCCAGGTAGGTCATTAGAAGGATAAGAGGTTCCAGAGGCTGGTCCAGCAGCACCCGAGCAAATCATGGGGATGGGGGTCCCTTCTGAGCAGCCACCTGGCCATACAGGTCGGCCCGGCGATGGGAGAAGACTGGCATCTCCTGCCGGATGCGGTGCAGGTAGGCAAGGTCGATCTCTGCGTAGCACACGCCTGGCCCCTCCTGGCACTGGGCGACCACGCTGCCCCATGGATCCACTACCATGGCGTGGCCGTAGGAGCTGCGGCTTGCGTGGTGCTTTCCTGTCTGAGCAGCTGCGACCACATAGCACTGGGTCTCCACAGCACGAGCTCGCAGCAGCACCTGCAGAGGAGGGAGGAGTATAAAAGAGTCAGGGGTGGAGCCTGCGGTGTCTCCGCCCATTGCAAATTTTAACATGAGAACATAACACCTCCAAACAGTGGAAGAGATGACTTCAGATCGTGGTGGTTTCTCCTTCATTGGAGGTTTTTGAACAGAGGTTGGACGGCCATCTGTCAGGAATTCTTGAGCTGTGATTCCTGTATTGGGGGTTGGGCCAGACGACCATTTGGGTTCTTTCCCCTTTTTCCCAATAATTTTTTATTATTTTCTTTACACATTCATTCTTACAATACATTAGTCAACATATAAACCTTTTGTTCTGCCGAGCTTGCGACTTCCCTCCCTCCCTTCAGTTGGTATCCCTTATCACATCCTATTGCGTATTTTATCTTCTTGCATCTTAATCATCCTGTCTATGTTGTAGGAGTTACTTCAATCCTGCTAGTGTCTTTAAGTTTTTACAATTATCCTTTAAATATACCATAAATTTACTCCAATTTTCCTGGAATCTTTGATCATCCTGATCCCAAATCCTGCCGGTCAGTTTGGCTAACTCCGCAGAGCCCGTCATTTTCGTCTGCCACTCCGCAATGGTAGCAACTTCTTGTGATTTCCAGTTTGGGGCCAACAAAGTCCTTGCAGCAGCTGTGGCATACATGAATAATCTTCGATCTTTTGTCTTAAGACTTAAGACATTTGGGTTCTTTCCAACTCTGATTACAAGCTAAGAGCCTGCTGGATCCAGGTCACTGGACCATCTAGTCCAGCCTCCTATTCTCACAGTGGCCTGAGCCCTCTGCCCTCATGCAGTTTCCAGCAACTGGTATTTGGAATCACTGCTGCCTCTAGGTCTAGAGATGAGCATAGTAATATTGGCAGGCAGTCATTAATAGCCCTCTGCTCCATGAATTTGTGCAACCCTCTTTTAAAGCCATCTATGTTGGTGACCATTGCTGCCTCCTGTAGGAGAGAGTTCAATAGTTTGACCCATGTGCTGTGTGAATAAGGACTTTATTGGTCCTTAACCCTCTTGTGTTCAGCTTCACTGGATGTTCACAAGTTCTAGTGTCACTGGGGGGGGTGGGGAATCTGTCTACTTTCTCCATGCAAATGTGAAATTTTCATTCCCGTCACCTCTTACCTTTTCTCCAAACCAAAATGTCCCCAACTCCATCCCCCTTGATAATTTGAGTTGCCCTTTTCTGAACGTTCTTCCCAACTCTGCACTGCCCTTTTTCAGACGAGGCAACCAGAATGCTATCATGCAGTCACATCACAGATTTGTATTAACAGCATTATGGTAGTGATGGTTTTGTTTTCAAATCCTTTTTCTAACTATCCCTAGCATGTAAACTCACATTATCGGAAATCTAGGGCTTTGAGTGCCTCTGAGCTGGTTCAGAGGGTCCCTGCTCTTGTAGGGCAGCTGCCCCACCCAAAAATAAAATAAAAATGGTACTCTTGGGAGTTGTAGTTCAAAACATTTGGAGGGTAATAGGTTGAGAGAGGTTGATTCAGGACAGTGGTTCTCAAAGTGGGTGGTATTGGCTCCAGGAGGGCAGTGGGATTACCTACCAGAGGGGCACTAGGTCAGGAGGCAGGAAGGGTCTAGGGCGGCACTGGGGGTGTAAATGGCTATCAGACCTTGAAAAGCAGATCTCACTGCTGGGTCAAGTTTGTTAAACTAAATAGTTTCAACTGGATTTTGAATAAATGTGCAATGAATTGTTCATCTTTTGAATCTTATTGTGTTATTACCTTCCTTAGTGGGCCGTGCAAACCACTATCCTGAATAATGCTTTTTATAGGGTAAAAAGGGGCACTGGGATGGGTTTATGGAACCGAGGGGGTAGTTGCCAAAAACTGCTTGGGAACCACTGATGTGGGAGAACAGGAGGAGCAGGGAGGGGAAATAGGAAGCAAAGGGGTAGAAGATACAGTTTGATGCCCAATACTTTTTTGAGCACTTGGGTCCTTCACTAAGGGATTTCAAACGCAGAAGTTCAATGTTATTTGTTGGGTTATGCTGTCTCCGCCTTCCTTCTACAGTAGTACCTCTGGATGCGAACGGGATCTGTTCCGGAGCCCTGTTCGCATCCTGAAGTGAACGCAACCCACATGCCGTGATTCGCCGCTTCTGCGCATGACGTCATTTTGACCATCTGCACATGCGCAAGCGGTGAAACCCGGAAGTAACGCGCTCCGTTACTTCCGGGTCGCCGCAGCGCGCAGCCCGAAAATACTCATCCCGAAGCTACTTCAACCCGAGGTATGACTGTACTGTCGTTTTTGCTGCACTAATGCAAGAGAACAAAGGCGTTTCTTCTTAGGACAAGGTTGTCTGAGCATGGGCAAACTGCCCTATGTGACGGCAACGAGCTACTATTTCTAAAAAGTGTGTTGGCACATTCATAGCTCGGTACAGGGCACACTTTGCTCCAGGTTCAATCCCCATAACCTCTAAATCAGGCATGGCAAACTCGGCCCTCCAGATGTTTTGGGACTACAACTCCCATGATCCCTAGCTAACAGGACCAGTGGTCAGGGATGATGGGAATTGTTGTCCCAAAACATCTGGAGGGCCGAGTTTGCCTATGCCTGCTCTAATTGAAAGGATTCCTGGAAAGTACCCCACCCAACCACTGTAATGTTGGATCCACTTACCTCCCAGTGGGCAGAGCCTGTTGTCACAGTGAAGGCTGATGGATAGGTGAGAATCTCCGCTCCTTCCCGGGCCAGAGCGATAGATATTTCTGGGAAGCGGAGATCGTAGCAGATGGCCAGACCAACCTGAGAGAGGGAGGACAGAGGGGGAGGCTAGTAAGCACTGGATCTTTGCCGCATATGCTTAAGACAGCCCTGTACCTGCCAGTGGCAGAAAGCACCAGTTTCATCCCACTTATATTCTCCTCATTTATATAGTAACTGTACCTATATTTCTGATTTTCCTGATCTTAGTCTGTAGACCACAATAATGAATCATTCCAAATTTTTTTGTTGGGGAAGAGCCTTTGGCAGCCTACATAAGTCTGAACATAAGAAGTGCCTGGGTGCAGGGTCAGACCTATGGGCCATCTAGTTCAGCATCCTGCTCTCACAATGCCCAACCAGATGCCCCAGTGGGAAGCCCCAGAGCAAGGGAGCCTGAGTGCAGACTTCTCCCCACCTGTGATTCTCTGCAACTGGCATTCAGAGACAAACTGCCTCTGACAGTGAAAGTAAAATACAGTGGTACCTCTGGTTGCGAACGGGATCCGTTCCGGACGCCTGTTCGCAACATGAGCAGAACGCAACCTGTGCCTGCACGTGCACGGGTCGCGATTCACTGCTTCTGCGCATGACGTCATTTTGCGCGTCTGCACATGCGCGAGCGGCGAAACCTGGAAATAACCCTTTCTGGTACTTCTGGGTCACCGCAGGACGCAACCTGAAAACGCTCAACCTGAAGCAAACATAACATGAGGTATGACTGTATAGCCATTGTGGCCCATAGCTGTTGATAGCCTTCTCCTCCGTGATTTGTTCTAATCCTCTTTTGAAGCTATCCAAGTTGATGCCCAGCACTGCCTCCTGTGGAAGGGAGTTCCATAGTTGAATTCTGTGCTGCATCATGAAGTACTGTGCCTTCTCTTGTCTGTCCTGCCTGAACTTGCGTATATGAATTTTAGGAAAAAAATTTGCCCTGATTTGCAGTACTAGGTTTGCCATTTTAATGTTCCTTTGTCCAGTTTGGAGAGATCTTTTTTGAAACTCCTTACCATCCCTCTTTATTTTAACCACCCTGAACCATCTGGGATCATCAGCAAACTTGGCCACCAGATTAATTACAAACATATTTTTTTAATTAAAAAAACCACCACCACACTTTGCATTGAACTTTGCTCAGCTTATTGGTCTCAAACGACGTAACCAACACCTGTCTCTGGAATATGTTACACGTACCTTTCCGGCCGGGGTCTCCACAGGAGCCACTATCTTGGAGCCTGGGTTGGTGAAGGCGCTTTCCTTCAGGGACACTCGCCCCTCCATCTCTACGTCAAAAAGATGAGTCTTCCGATAGGCAGCCACCAGGGTTCCTGAAGCCAGCCTCCCCGAGGAGAGAAGGATAAGATTAGCAGATTTGGAAGGCGGGGGCCAGTGGTCCTTATGGTTTCATGGCTGCTAAGGCATCAACATAGTGAGGCTAGCCATGGGAGCTGCAGGGAAGCTGAAAGGAAGAGGCAGGCCACCGTGTTTCTATCCCTTCCCTGCTGGCTTGTTTCAGGAGGCAGCGCTTCTGACACCAGTGTTGCATGAGACAGCCAGTATGCTGTAACAGATAAGAGTGTCAGACTAAGACCTAGGAGAAGGTAGAGGTAAAGGGATCCCTGACCATTAGGTCCAGTAGTGCCCAACTCTGGGGTTGCGGCGCTCATCTTGCTTTATTGGCCGAGGGAGCCGGTGTACAGCTTCTGGGTCATGTGGCCAGCAGAGCAGCGCACGGAAACGCTGTTTACCTTCCCGCCGGAGCAGTACCTATTTATCTACTTGCACTTTTTGGGTGTGCTTTCGAACTGCTAGGTTGGCAGGAGCAGGGACAGAGCAACCCCGTCGCGGGGATTTGAACCGCCGACCTTCTGATCAGCAAGTCCTAGGCTCTGTGGTTTAACCCACAGCGCCACCCGCGTCCCTTAGACCTGGGAGAAACTGGGGTTCAAATCCCCACTCAGCGATGAAGCTCACTGGGTCACCTTGGGCCAGTCACTGTCCCTCAGCCTAAGCTACCTCACAGAGTTGTTTTTAGGATAAAATTGCAGGGAGAACAATGTACGCCACCTTGGAGGAAAAGGTGGGATATAAACGGAATAAATGAAATTGAAAATGAATGTGCCATTTGGTTAGTGAAGAACTGATTGCGAGAAAGAGGGTGGGAAGGAAGGAGTGGTTTAGGGAGATTTGGGCAGTTTAGGGAGAGAAGGCGTCCTATACTAAGACAATTTTGTCACCTTTGGAATCCAAGAGGAGATGGCAGTTGTAGATCCTTCCTGTGCTCTCCCAATCACTGCCTCTTTCATGGAAGCCTCCAAGGGACAACCAGACACCACATTCCCTGTCAAAAGAGGAGAAATGGGGTTGGGGGGGTTACCTGCAAGTGCCTGGCCATTGCCTCTGCCACACTCTCACAGACAAAGCCCTGCCACATCCACACAGGGCAGCCCCAGCAAGCCCTACCTGGCCAGCCCGACGTATCGCTGCAGGTGGTCTCCCTCCAGGGGCTCAGCTAGGCTCAGGGCCTCCTCCACGCTGCTGCCAATGAAGTCAAAGGCTTCCGGGAGGAAGACAACACAGGCCCCCCTCTGGGCAGCCTCCTGGACGAGCCGTGAGCAGGACGCCCAGTTGTGGGCTTTGTCGGGAGTGGAGGTCATCTGGCAGACAGCGATAAGTGGCTTCAGGGGTCCTGCACCCCCCGTAGACATGGCTTTGAATCTGGAGCGGCAGGGGAGAGAGCAGAACGGACTGTGAAAACCCACACAAGCATCACATTAAGCCAGCCACTCCGTGGTTTGTCTCCCTGCTCAAGAAAGGGAAGAGCAATGTAGAGACAGTTTGAGCTCATGCACAGGCTGGTTTGACTAAGTATGGTTTGTTTCCTGCAAATACGCTCTGATATTTAAATCCCTGCTCAAGCATGCAGGCTACTTGATCTCCTGGGGCTGTACGGTATCAGCCCAAACTACCTCTCAGGCGTATAGAGTGGTGGAGAGACCCTGAGCTCTTAAAATGTACAAATGTCGTTGTCAGATCTTACATCTCAGAGGCCAGTTACCTGTGGCCAGGGGCTCTGCTTTGGATCCTTGCAAATGGCTTCCCACCAGCGAGGCAAAGTGTTTGCAATGGCTTCTGGACCACCGCTCTCAACCTAGACGAGGCAATGGGGAAAAAACACATCTTCTTTCAAAGCATCTGGGAAATGCAGGCCTCCAACACAAAGGGGACCTAGAACAGCCTTCCCTGACCTGGTGCCCTCTGGCTATTTTGGACTACAACTCCCACCAGCCACCAGCGAGAGAAAAATAGTGTTCCACAAAGCAGAACACTGCAGGATTCACCTAGCTATAAGGGGGTTTGTGTTTCTTGCCTCTGATTATTTTATTTTTAAAAAATGAAACAAAAGTATTAAAAAGCAATTTAGGGGTAAATTAAGAGTAAATGAGTCCAGCTGGACATGACAGCGTAACCCTTTTCCTTTTTCCTTCAGTCATACACAGATTCAGGGGGAAAGATACTGGGTCTCCCTGATCCATTCTTTCACAGGCAGGAAAGTCGTAGAGAAGAGGGTGATTTGGAGCTGAAAAATGAGAAGGAGGGCCTCCCCTTGCCTGCTTTTCTCTTATGCAGATAGGGAGTCTGCAGAGGCTACTTCTGGCTGAGGGCAAAACAGAGAAGAAAGCGACTCAGAGCTCTGAGTGACATCTATTCCTTTAACCAGAAGTATTTAAGAAGCGGGCTCAGTCCCCATCAGTTTAAGAGATGAGAAAGATCCCATTGGTCCAGTTGCCAAGGAAATGGTGCACAGTCAGATAGCTGCACCCTTGCATCCCTCACATCAGGGGAGATGTTGAAGGTCCTGGAGCACACCTTTCAGATCACATATTGATACGAGGTGGGTTGGGAAAATGTCTCAGGGTGGTTCTGCTCAGGGAAAAGTTAACGCAAAGCCAGCAGGCTCTGCTTTTTCACAGTAAGCCAGCACATAGACATTGCAGCTAAAATTTGTCATGCCATGCAGAGGAACCCCGAAAAAAGCTTTCCAGTGTTCCATTTCTATGTGTCAGGATCACGGAATCATATCCAGTTGGAAACCCCCTGCAATGCAGGAATCACAACTAAATAATCCCTGGTGGATGGGTGCAGTTAAAAGGGCAAGAGAAGGGCCTGATAAAAAAACTGGAAATTAAAGATAATAAATCTAAAATAAAAATAAAAAGGATAAGGTTTCAAACCCTATCATTACCCTTCACCATACATGGGCAAGGAGTTCCACAGGGCAAAACCAATTACTGTATGTTCTTTCTCGACTTCCCTTTCTTCTTCCCACCTCCCTCCATAAATCAGGTTTACTTGATATTATTTTTATTATATTATATTATAGTTATTCTTTCATGCCTCTTGCATCATTTTGCTCAGGGCTGCTTTTAAATTCCCCTCCCCTTTTCTCACCCTTCCAATTCCCAGCTCAAAAAGTAACAGTCAACTTTCTCTTCCCCCCCCCATTACAGTCATTAACAAACCCCCCCTCCAAAAGATTCACCCGCAGTGATTACATGGAGCAAAAGAAAAAAATGACAGCAGCTGCCGTTGCTCCCCTAAAAGCCAGGGGGGAAAGTCCAGTCCGGAAGTAGACCTGTCCCCAAACAAATATGGCGCTTCTGCGTAGTGGAGCCCATACTAAAAATGGTGGGCAAAAAATCTCTACTTGGACTTAATACTCTATATAGGTTGACAAGTGAGGCCAGTTTCAGGTGTCTGTACAAGTTTTTTTTGTTTTTAAAGTGAAGGTTCATCACAGAGATCAGAGGAGAAATCCAGGATTTTCAACATAGCAGTGATTGGGGAGCACAGCAGCTAAACTTTTTGAAAATAATAATTCTAAAAAGCAACAAGGAAGGCAGGAGCTCATCCTCCTTCTACTTCAGTTCTTATTCTGATTAGAAAACCTTTAAAGATTTTAGACATTTAAAAGTGCAAAGTGTCTGCATGTGAGGTTCTGCATGCAACTGAGCTCTGAATTTGGCTTGGGAGAGGATATGAGAGTGAGACTCGATTTAAGTATTTTGTTTTAAATAAAATCTATATACCTCAAAGCAGTTTAGAAAAAGAATACTGTGAAACAATTTAAAAATATTGGTAAAAACAATTAAAAACTACTATGTAAAACATTTTTAAAAAGCAATGATAAATTAAAAACCGCAGCCCATCTCCCAAATATGGGGCTAATTTACATATATGTTCTGGCATCGGCAGGGATCTCTTCCCCACTCAGAAAAACGCTTTAAAATATATACAGTATTTTTATTACTACCTCCCCACACACACTAAATAAGATGCAGAGTCAAAAAATGCTTGAGCGCCTCACTGTTGGCTTATTGCCTTCTGCTTACGGTTTGTTGAACGCGTTTGCTGTAACTAGCGCAGTTATATTTAAAATCCTGAATTTCTCCATTGATTTCTATCAACGACTCGCAATTCTGACCCCGCTAGAAATTTCCAAAGAAAACCCGGAAATGTTCCAGCCTGAGAAGTCCATGTGCAGTTCTACACTTTTTTATCTCTTCCTGACTCCAACGAATAGAAATCATGGCTTTTAAAAGGGCGGCGCGAGGAACTTGTAGCCCAGAACAAAGATGGTGCTGATTTGATAAAGCCCTCAAGCAAAATGGCGCTTTTGGGATTACATAAGAAAGGACTCCACCGCCACCACTACCTATAAAGTTCGTATGTTTCCGGTAATTTCATTAATGGCCATTTCTTTATCTGTGTCTTTATTTCGCGTCGTTCTCTCAAGCTTCGGGCTCCTCACTTCTACTGGGTGTGAAACCCAGTATGCCCTTAACAAATATGGCGGCAGGAGATTGAAGCCCCAAAGTGCGTCGGCGGACGCAGAAACGCGGATCCTTCCGGTCACGAGGGAAGGCAGTGACCTCTCTCGCCCCGGAAGTTGTGGCGTTGTTAGGCTGGCCTTATGTCTCTCGAGGGCCTGGCCAAGTGAAGGAAGATGGCGGAGAGCGGCAAGACGAAAAGTGGCCCGGCGGCTCCTCCCAGCGGCGGCGGCGCTGCTTCTTCGGCTGGGGGCGCCGGCAAGGCCATGACGGCGGAGCAGGTACCGGGGAGGGGCGAGGAAAGGGAGTGCCTTTGGGCATGTGCAGAGTTCCCCTTCCCGGGGGGGAGATGCGTCAAGTCACGACGTCCAACAGCCCGAACCCGTAGCCCGCTTTGGCCTCCGCGCGTTTCGCGGGAGGGTTTCTGAGCATGTGCAGAGCGAAGGGTGCCGTTATTAGGGGTGGCGCCGCTCCTGTGGACGTTGTAGTAGTGGAGAAAAGACACTCGGAATCTTTTTAACTTTTCCTCCGGGCAGTCCTAACAACAATAATAATAATCACCACCATCATCATTGTTGCAATTTTTTACCCACCTGTCATCCCAAGGCCCTAGGACGGATTGCAACAATTAAAACAATATTAAAGCAAAATATTAAAAGACAGATTAAAACAACATAGATATGACTCCCAATAGGAAGGAAAAGCTTAAGCTACTTAGGCATTCAGGTTACCTGTAATTTAAACGCATTATAGCAAAGTATGGAAATCAATAAATATGGTTATATGATGCTGGAAGAAAATGAAATTTTCTATCACGGACTGACTGGCCGAAACTAAAATTAGACTTATTCCACCAGCCCATAAGTCCAAATGGCAAAGAAAACAACATAGACATATTTCAATCAGACCAACCAAGCATTAAAAAAAATTGCTGTTTGTTCACAGAACTGTTGGAGGATGGGGATTCCAAAATCTAAACTGCTAATAAAACACATGTCAACTTAGCACATGACAGACATAATATTTGGCAATAAGGGAATTCAGTGGAGCAGGTTAAAGAACTTAGAAGTAAATGGTGTCCTATAAAAGTAATACATTTTAAAAAAATCTGCTCTTTACATTTGCTTACAAACCCATTCACATTCACAACTTTCAAGTTTTTGGTCCCAGGCCTCTCACCCATTATTCCATTACAGTTCCATCCAGTTTTCAAAAATAAATATAGAGCCTTTAATACAGTTAGATACCTGGGGGGGACACCCATAATTGTATTGTTTGAAATAATTTTTACAAAATGGACAACTGCTTACCATTAATGAGATGCAAATTCAGGTGGGAAATGTTCAAATATGTCCTTTTTAACTATGTATGTATGTATTATACTGCCCTTCATCCGAGGATCACAGGCTGGTTTACAATATAAAAGCATAAGAAATGCATAACATAGTAACAAACAAAAACAATACCATCCACAATCTTCTATTTCTGGTTTAAAAGGCCATAGAAACCAAACATTTCTCCCACGTATTAGAGAGGATGTCCCATTGGAGGGACATATCAACACATGTGGTGAGGGGGTCCAAAAATTGAAAAGTTCTGGAAAAATTATTTACAGAAATATCTTTTGTCACAAGGCAAACAACCCCCATGACCCAGGACTTGTATAATCACAATATGTTGCAAATTAGAAACAAAGATCTCATAATACATCTATTAGCCACTGCAAGGACAGCCATTGCTAGGACATGGAAATCATTACAGTTATTAACTATGGACCAATGGTATTATGCAATTTATCAAACAACATTATTTGAAAAAGTGACAGAAAAATTAAAATTAGCAAGAAGCCAAAAGAAGCATGACAATTTGTATGCAGTATACACAAATACTGGGGCATATGGTAGAACAGTACCAATATAATTTTGGTATATATATTTTGACACAATTTTGTTCCTATATTCAGAAATGTTTTTCTGAGTGTTTATTGTTTAATCTTTATTTTTAATTTTATATAATTGTTGTATGCCATATCCTCTAATGTAAATGTATATCTCAATGCAACCATGTTAAACAGTTTAAAGACGAACATTAATAAAAACTATCTTGCCAAAAAAACAAAACAAACCACCCTTAGGTATGGCACACACGTTTTCTTTTTTCAGTTGGTTTAACCCTAGGGCTGTGGGATGGAATGATTTGAAAGTCCAGAGATCCATGAGCAAAATACTCCACCTTAGCAGTGATTCAGGACGGTTTAGGTAGGAATGGTTGTGATGTATACGGCAGCCTCAGTTGGCAATTCAAGTAAAACATGGCAGATTTCTAACCCCAAGGAACCTTATGGTCTAAAGTATGAGAGTGGGGAAAGTAAAAGCAGCAAGGGGCAATGTGAATACAGTGGTACCTCGGGTTAAGTACTTAATTCGTTCCGGAGGTCCGTACTTAACCTGAAACTGTTCTTAACCTGAAGCACCACTTTAGCTAATGGGGGCCTCCAGCTGCTGCCGGAGCACTATTTCTGTTCTCATCCTGAAGCAAAGTTTTTAACCTGTAGCACTATTTCTGGGTTAGCGAAGTCTGTAACCTGAAGCGTATGTAACCCGAGGTACCACTGTAGTCCCTGTGTCAATGCTAACTTAGCTGTGGCTGGTGCAAGCCCTTGCCTGCTGTGACTGACGTTTCTCCCCTTCTAGGTGGTAGCTGGATTTAACCGTCTGCGTCAGGAGCAGCGAGGTCTAGCCTCAAAGGCAGCTGAGCTGGAGATGGAGTTGAATGAGCACAAGTAAGCAGTGGATTTGAACATTGTTCCCCCTGCTAATTTTGGATATTGCTGCTTGGTCGTTTTGCAGTTTTCTCTGTTCTTGGAAGCAGCCTTGCAAATAGAATTGAGAAAAAACATCAGATGAGCCTGGCTCATGGGTAGGCAAACTAAGGCCCGGGGGCCGGATCCAGCCCAGTCGCCTTCTAAATCCGGCCTGCACACAGTCCAGGAATCAGCGTGTTTTTACATGAGTAGAATGTATGCTTTTATTTAAAATGCATCTCTGGGTTATTTGTGGGGCATAGGAAATAGTTCATTCCCCCCCCCCAAAAAAAATATAGCCAGGCCCCCCACAAGGTCTGAGGGACAGTGGACCGGCCCCCTGCTGAAAAAGTTTGCTGACCCCTGGTCTGGCTGGTGGATCAGGCTAAGGGGTGGGGGGTGGGGGCGGGTCTAGTCCAGCATCCTGTTCTCACAATGGCCAACCAGATGCCTCTGGGAAGCTTGCAAGCAGGAAAAAGATACAACAGTCCTTTTCCTACTTGTGCACCTCAGCGAGTGTTACTCAGAGGCAAACTGCCTCTAATGGTAAACATAGCCATCATGGCTAGTAGCCATTGATACCCTTCACAGCTTCCCAGAACCACCCAGTGAACTTTGCCTTGTTTCTTCCATCTTTGAACGAAAGTGCTCCCAATTCAGAGTTTTGACTGCTAGATTTGGAAATAATAAAATAGCAGCACAGCAATGTGTCATGTCTTTCCCTGCAGTCTTGAGGCTCCTGGTCACAAGTATACTTCCTGGCCATGTGGATTTCTAGATCCTTTGATACTGTCCTTATCATAAGCTGGTGTACAATGCTAAGATATTCTGCCTTTCTTCCACTTTGCAGGCTGGTAATTGAAACACTCCGAGAAGTGGACCCTACTAGGAAATGTTACCGGATGGTGGGAGGTGTGTTGGTAGAGCGCACTGTGAAAGAAGTTCTCCCAGCCTTGGAAAATAACAAAGAGCAGGTAATGCCTCTGCAGACAGTGGGCAGACTCCCTGCTTCTCCTTGGAACAGGGAATGCCTTTAGCCTCAGCAATACTTGCCTTTAGTTATCATGGCTAAAACTAGGGAGACCTAGGTTTGAATTCCTGTTCAGCCATGAAACTCAGTGGGGGGTAAGTCACCTTGGGTCGGTCACCTTCTCTAAGCCTAATCTACCTCACAGGGTTGTGAGGCAAAAGGAAGGAACTAAGTATGCCAACTGAATTAACTGATAAAAAGGTGCATATATATATAAGGAAAGCTAATAATATATAACTGATAGTCATTTCTGGCATCTGAAGGCTGGAAAGAAAAGGAAGACCCAGCGTTTTTGCAGTTTACAAGAACTTCTCTAGCTGCTCGCCTGCTGCAGATTTTTACTCACCAAAGGCCATTGTGTGAGTGGAAGTTAATGAACTTCACATAAAACATATTGGTCTATCATCACTAGATCACGGTAGAGTTTGAGACTCTTAATCTCAGGGTCATAAGTTGAAGCCCAGCGTTGGGCAAAATATTCCTGCCTTGCAGGGGGTTGGACTAGATGATCCACAGGGTCCCTTCCCACTCTACAATTCTATGATTTTGTTTTTTTAAAAATATATATGCTGTTTTCAATTCTTCTGTTTGCCACCATTTGTCATTCTTGGCCACTGCCGAAGAATAAGTAAAAAGCAATCAAATGTCCAGGTGTTTTTGTGTGTGTAGAGATTCTTCATTATGCAACTTGCTTATATTTCTTTCCCGCTCCCACTGCTCCCCAAATTCTCAGAGAGAATGTAAAAACAACTCAGTCATGACTTGAGCCCAGGCTCCCTGAAAGATCCTATCTCCCTAAGATCCTTGGGTGAGCC